GCTCCGGGCCCTTTAAATCACCATGGGAGCTCGGCTGCCAGAGCTCTGGCAGTGCTTTAAAAGGTCGGGGGCTCCCCGCAGCAGCTGGAGCCCTGGGTCCTTTAAATCACCACCGCGGAAGCCGGTGCAGTCCGGCATGGCATACTGGCTCTTGCCGGTACGCCGGACCGGACCATACCGGTTTACTTTCACCTCTGAAATGACAAAATGGGGATGTTTCAGGGGTCTTTTATATCCTCTGTCATGTGCATGGGAAAGTTACAGTCCCAAACAAAGCCCACAGTCCCTGTTTGTGGAAAGTTACTGGCCCAAGATGGAGTCCAGGATCACATGAGCATATCACATGTCCTTACCTGGCTTTCTGCATCACAGGGGGTGGTCACAGGTTCCTTGATGTCTGAGGCAGGAGGACCTACTGGGCAGGACGAGTTTTCTCTATGGCCCATTGTGAGAGATGAATGTCCTTGATGGGCCAACACATAACTGTCTAGACTTGATGTAAATCTATTTGAGAGGTTTCACCCAGGAACAAACACATTTGAGATCCAAATACATAGCCAGTGTTCATAATGTCATATACAGAGATGATACATGGATTGAACCAAGATAATCATACTCAACAGATTGTAACTTTTCCATTGACACCTTACATGATGCACTTTGTATAAGATGAATGGAAATTGTGTAACAGTAGTAACAGTGATATAAATGGTCACCTTTCTTATACACAACATCACAGCATGGCACCCTGAAGAGCCTTCAATTAGAAGAAATGGCAACCACTGGAATAAGTTTGCACTCTGCCTTCAGTTCCCAGCAGTGCTTTTCTAGCTGACTGGAGCAGAGCTGATACAGAGCATAAGCATACTCACCTCAGGACTGGACCTGGACAATTTGATCCTGAATTTCTATGGTGAGGCCTGGAGACGTCCATTAAGAATGATCATAGGAGAGTGGGGTAGGAAAAATGTAGAATCAATTATTTGGTAGCTCTGGTTAGGTCCAGACTGGACATACAATGAGAGCAGAGTTTCTCATTACATCTCAGTGCTTCTGCTTTCAGGTGAAATTCTGAAGTCCTGAGATTCCTTGGCCTGCTTGTTTTCATTTTCTTAGAGATAGAAAATGAAAACAGATATCTCAAAATTGCCATTTTTTTTCTGACGATGGCAAACACCCTGGTTTGTGCCTTTAAAAATTAAAACCACATATATCATTTTAATAGGGAAAAACAGGTCTTGATGGATTTAAAGGTGAGCCTGGTCCAAGAGGACCTATTGGATTTCCTGGAGCTAAAGGAGCAGCTGGGGAACCAGGTAGGGACACACGTACGCTTAGATTAATTCATAAGCAATGTTCCTCTGCAACCGAATCCAGTGCACACGCTGGTTTCTTTATGCGCTTTGTGCCATGTAGGAGACAGAGGCCAGAAAGGTGAGAGAGGAGATTCGGGCATGGGACTCCCTGGCCCAGATGGACCTCAAGGCTTTAGAGGTAAAGAGAATTTCAAGTGATGTTTTATCTGAGGTTTTAACTTCCTTGCTCTATATTTTTCAGTTATTCACCATAAAACTATAGACTCAGCTATGAAACATATATATGTCCAACTTATTTAATAAAGTTATTTTTTGTACAATTGAAATATTCCCACTGAAATATTTACAGCTCTCCATGAAAATACTTTACTTTGTTCATGAGCTTCACAGTTTTCCTACATAATCTCTATTTTAAGTATGGGGGAGGCCATGCTGCTAATTTGATCACTGTGCAAACCTGTAAAGATTTTAATGGCACCTGATGTGCACACTGACAGTGGTGTGTGTCAGCAGGATGTTTGTAAAAGAAATGTTGAGAGAGAGTGACTGGTTGGGAATTCAAAGAAAGGGTCGCAGAGAGGACCCCCACTATTTTCTCCTGACCTTGCTGGAAGAAATCAGATTTCTTACCCCTGAAATGGTGTGCTAATAATACTGGAATAGCTAATGCTAGATCTGGCTGGAGGATGACACTTCCATTTCACAACAACTTCCCAGCTTTCAGAATTTGTTTTCATTCTTCACTGTAACAAACCCAAAACTTTTTGAATGTTTTTGTGAAACAGAATTGTGAAAACATTCATTTTTGGATTGAAAACATAGGTTTTCAATTTGGGTCTCTCTCTCTCTCTCTCTGGTCAGAAGTGACCAAAGAACCATGGACCTCAGAAACCTTCTCATCAAAATTGATATGGCTCTATAAAATATTCCCGCTTCAGTAAAACAGCATATGTCAACAAAAATATATTTAATTTAAAATGTTCCAATCAGCTCTAATTAGCATCTAGTGTCAGGATGACCCTGGCACAATTTTGAGTGTATTAAAATGCACTTGCCCTTATCAAGTGTCTAGATTACACTGAGAAAGACTGAGGTCCTTTGTACAGGTTTAGCAAGGTCCCGTGAAGGGGATTTATTTCATGTGGATTCATTCTGTACAATGGGAAGGGAAGAACACACACAGGGAAATTTAACAGAGATGGTATGTGCCCCTAGACTGATTCACTAGATAGCTCCCTATTGATCTTTTTCACCCTCACAATTTGCTGATGATCTTGAATTTCTTCAAACCATGAGCCTGATTCTGACCTCTCTTAGATCAGTTTTGCATCAGTGTAATTCCAACAGCAATAATGGAGCTATGACTGATTTACACCAGTATGAATACAAGGAAAATCAGGCCCCATTTTGGGGCAAGAGGACTCAGCTTTTCTTTATATAATTTCCTTGTTTCGTTCTTCTTCTAGGATTCCCTGGACATCCTGCTGTTGCCAAAGATGGCCAGCCAGGCACAGCAGGTCCCCCTGGATACAGCGGTCCTCCAGGTCAGCCAGGATTTCCTGGCCCTTCGGGTGTCCCTGGACTATGTGAAGCAACAGACTGCAGGATCTATGCGCCTCACCTACTGTCAGAACAGGGATTAGTGAAGGGACCATCTGTTTAATTATAAAATAATAATGATGCCAGGATAGATGTGGAAAAATATCCGGATGGCACCCATTTCCTGTTGGAATAACGCCACCACCTGATTCTTCATTGGTGACCTAGTAATGTTCTACTTGGCTAATGGGATCCTGATATTAGGCATTAAACCCCAAATGTTGTGATTTCTTTATTATATGCCCAGCTATATTTATGCAAACCTGTGCAACTGGTGTATTGTGGAAGTACCATTTCACCCTCAAATCATTGGTGCATAAACACTAAACAACAGATAAGTAAACATTGCAGTAAGTCCAGCTAAGAATAAATTTTGCCCTCGGATCTTCAAGTACTACCCCATTTTAATAGTTCTAGTTAAAGTTCTTGAGTGTTTGATTATCCATTAAAAAGCAACAGAGGGTCCTGTGGCACCTTTAAGACTAACAGAAGTATTGGGAGCATAAGCTTTCTGCATCTGAAGAAGTGAGGTTCTTACCCATGAAAGCTTATGCTCCCAATACTTCTGTTAGTCTTAAAGGTGCCACAGGACCCTCTGTTGCTTTTTACAGATTCAAACTAACACAGCTACCCCTCTGATACTTGATTATCCATTGAGACTCAAGGCTGCTTGACTTTTATTTAAAATGTATTCTGGGTCTCTTATAAACCAAGTGAATGCAGATAAACAAGAAGAGACAAATTCTGCTCTCAGTTATAATAGTCTAAACTCAGAGCAACTTCAACCAAGTAAATCATTTCTCTGGATCTACCCTAAACAGATGAGCTGAATTGATCTATCAGATTGAAAAAGTCTGTATGGCAAGATGCGGTTTTTTTAAAAAATCTCTATGTAGACAGCCACAGTCTATTCATTCAGCCTATTTTATGCTGAACTGTACACTTGCTATTTTATTGTATTCCTGCACCTCATTTTGTAATTCACAAAGCTGGCTGACTAATCAGACCTTGGCATGTCCATATTATCAAACAGAAGAAGACAGACAAAAATCCGTGTTTGAACTTGGCTGTTGTTGTGTAAACAATATTGTGCTCTATGAGCCAAAAGCTGTAATCCTTTCTCAATCCATTGCCTTCAATAGGTGTCTTGCCTGATTACGGCTGGCAGGATCAGTGCCACTGTTTGTACCTCTAGAAGACTAGTTCAGTAAAGAAAGGTTTCATCAGTTATTCCCAATTCCCTTATTAGCAGAAGCCTGCTGTCTATGGTAGTGGTTCTCAACCAGGGATCTGGGGCTGCCTGGGGGACCTTGAGCAGGTTTCAAGGGGTCCACCAAAATAAACCAGAGAGCAGGGCTAGTGTTAGACTTGCTGAGGCCCAGGGCAGAAAGCCTGAGCCCCGCTGCTGGGGCTGAAAGCCGAAGCCTGATCAAACTATCGTTGTGGGTCCCTGGGCAATCACCCGCCTTGTGACCCTCTAATGCTAGCCCTGGCTTTTAATTTACTGGATATGCAGAAAAACAGGTGTTGTGGCACAGGTGGGCCAGGGAAGTTTTACAGCATGTTGGCAGGACCTCAGAAAGCAAAAGGTTGAGAATCCCTGCTCTATGGAATTGGCCCTGCTCATAACTAAAGATACAATTCTGTTTTCACTGAGGGCAATGGCAAAACTCCCATTGGTTTCAGTGGTGCAGAATTGAACCTTCAGGGCCAGATCCAAAGTCCATTAAAGTCTATGGAAAGTCTCCCACTTGATTTCAATGATCTTTGGATCAGGCCCTATATGTATGCAACAGCTGACCCACCACTCTTCACCGTTTTGTGGGTTTGGCTTTTCACTGGGAAAGGCTGTGGCACCTCATTCAAAGCTTTCTATATTTTTCTTTATCACCTACTGCTGTTCATGGTTCAGAAGCTGCTTGTAGGGTTCCCAGCCTGTGTTCTGTCCCATGCTATGTACTGTAAACTGTCTTGGGTTTGTCTGTAAGATGCCTAGCACACATCCGATGCTCTAGGAACTCACATCAATAGCGATACTTCTCAGGACTGACGGGGAGAGGAGGGTGTTACCTGTGGGGCAGGGTTTCATGTTTGACGTTTTACATTTTCTGCACAACTGTCGGTTATTTGCAATTCATTAGTACTTCCCTGGATCTTGAAGTCTCCTGGCAGCTTGACTAAAATGACAGGCTGAAATTCTAGATGTTTACTCTGTCACGTTGAGCTACTGCTTCGAGCATTTTGGTTTCTGCATGTTTTGCTGCCACCAGTTTCATACACTGATCTTTGTCTGACAAAAAAAATTAAGGACTAGAATGTGATTAAGGCTACAAGACATCAGAGGGGACTAAGAACCGCACCATATAGCTAGATTTGTGTGACCTGGGTACTGGGTTTGGATGTGCAAGAGTAAGTGGGCCTATTACCTATTTACTCTCTCCCCAGAGCAGGGAGTGGGAAGGAGCAGAGAATGGCCCCATCCTACCTTACTCACTGGCCAAAGTAGCTGAGCCAGTGGGAGAGGTAGTAACCTCCTGCTGGTATAGGCCACCCCTGTCTCCCGCCCACCTGAAGGAGCAAGCAGGGGAGGAGTTATAACTGACAGGTGCCACAGTGTCTCCTAAAGATACTCATGGATTGGTGTAGACCTTGTCAGAGATGTGCCTAAAGACTCAATCTAGCTCTGGAGGATTACTCTGGATGCCCAATGGTGACAGTGTCTGTGGACCAAGAGTCAGTTTGAAGGGTTCTTTTCTATAAATAAATTTCCCAGAAGGGAATCAAATAATACATATGCACATTTGTTTTTCAAATTACAAAACTTTTCTTGTTTAAAAAATAATGGATTTATCCCTCTCCCCTCCCTCCACTAAATCCAACCAAGACAACTTTTTCCTGGTTTTCTCTCTCATGTGGGGAGTGGTGGTGAATAAGTGGTGATTAAAATAAAAGTACACAAAAAATAATGCATTGAGGGCTTAGCCTATGCATCCACACTAAAATGTTGCTTCTAGGTATGAAGTGTTTTTAAATACTCAACATTTTAGTCGGGGGTTTGGTTGCACTGAGGTATGGGGTACAGGGAGTGTGTATATACAGAACCAGGCCAAATCTGCTCTTGTGCCTTGATTCTACCATTCCTTGAGAGTGCAGAAAGTGATGCAAGGATGCTGCGATCCCAGGCAACTGTGAGAAGAGATTATTGTGGAAATTTTCAAAAGGTGGCCTCTTTCTAGGTAGTGAGAAGGGTAGCTGATGCAAATGGCCTGTTGCATGCTCCAGCTGGAACTTAGAGCATGTTTGTGTGCTCAAGAGATTTTCAGAACAGTTTCTTAATTGCATCCAATGTGCCCTGGGCCTGAGCTCTCCCCCTCCCTTCTCTGTCTTTCCAACCTAGTCTGTTCCCCTCCTCTCCCTGCCCATGACATTGAGCATGACAGAGGGATCCATCTCTTGCCCCTGCTTTTGAGGGTCACGTCTGTTTTGAGTTCAGCAAGGTAGCTCCTCAGGAGCACTGCCACCAGCGAGATGTGTTACTCAGTTCATTCCCCCAGCTGCCCTACCATTGGATTTAATACCCAATAGCCTCCACAGAGCAGAATTGTAAAACAAAAGTAAAACAAAATCTCCGCCTGTATATAGAAAATTCACATGGACTCCAACGCTTCAAAACCAGAGCCATCTCTCACACAGCACAGCCCAGTACAACTTTAGCTGCCGGGCAATATCAAAGGAATACTCACAGCTTGGCTGGAGTCTTTAGCTATCCAGGTAAAATGTGCAGAATGCCATTCTAGTGCCTAGTGTGCAGGATTGCCCATCAAAGCCAAGTTCCATTTGACAGAATTATTATTAAAAATCTACTGATCCGCAGGGAGTATAATAGGGACTTTAACCAGCCTCAGGGAAAAAGGCGCTTTAAGCAGCCCCACGGACACTTGCCTGACAAAGAGAACCCACAATGCCTAGAACTGCTCCTGCAAAGTGTACTTACAGTACAGAGGCAATTCTGCCTCAGCAAGTGCAAATACAGTTCCCCTTGGGCCCAACAGGAACTGATCACACACACCCAATGGCAGAATTTCACTCTGCTTACTGAATTCAGGAACTCCTCTCCCGTATCCAAAAAGATTGAAATCCACTTAAAACTGGAGAAATGGCTCAGAATCCCATGTCTCAGTAAATGTTACAAAGCTGCAGCTCTCTAGTGGATGGCAAATGTCAGTAGAAGCTATTTCAACTTTGGATCATCCTGTCAACCTAGAGCACAGCTGATGAGCTTCATTTATAGTCTCCAAATTACAAGTATCAGAGGGGTAGCCGTGTTAGTCTGAATCTGTAAAAAGCAACAGAGGGTCCTGTGGCACCTTTAAGACTAGCAGAAGTATTGGGAGCATAAGCTTTCGTGGGTAAGAACCTCAGTTCTTGCATCTGAAGAAGTGAGATTCTTACCCACGAAAGCTTATGCTCCCAATACTTCTGTTAGTCTTAAAGGTGCCACAGGGCCCTCTGTTGCTTTTTCCAAATTACAAAGCTCTGGTCTCTCCCAGGGATCCTTCTGTGCAGGATTCACCTTCTCAGCTACTTGAACATTTCACCACCGATGCCTGGGGTCAGGATGGAACCACTACTTTTATCTTCCTAGTTCTCGAGTTGAACAGGGCATAATAATTTGGATTGTGTGTGCCTGGGAATTTTGTATGTGGATTTTTATCTCCAAATAACATATGAACTCTTGAAAAGGTTACAGGCTAAACTCCAACTAGGGCCAAAGATGTGAAAGTCCATTTGTGACGCATGGCTAGAAAGGGTTAAACACTCTGCAAAATAAATAACCCTCAAAGGACATGTGGGGAGAGAATGTTTGTATTTGTGTGTATTTACATATGTATGAGTAGGGTCGACAATGTAATCAACAGTCCCTGTCTACGCTGTATTCTGATAATTCAGAGGTAAAAAAAAATCCCATCCTTTAAATGAATTGTAAGCACGGAATATCTCCGTATTCATCTCTCTTTGAAATTTACTGTGAATGGTGGAGGAAAAAGCAAATAGCTTTATGTTAATTTGTGTAGCTGAGTACCGGTGATGGACCTCCTTCAAAGTCATCCTAATTACTTTTTGCTCCCCGAGGGAATCCCAACTTGTCAAAAAGGACATGAAATTGTATAAAAGATCCTTGGGTTCTGATTCTGTCATCTCAGATCTGCTTAAGCTTCATCAGGGGAAGTTTAAGTTGCAAGACTGAGGTCCCAGTTATGCTGGTAAGCCCTGAATGTGATATTTGGACATTGGACTATAAACTATTTCTGAAAGAACTCTTTGCAACCACAAAGCTCACCATCTCTGCTATAAGAAGAACAGGAGTACTCCTGTTCTTCTTTTTGCGGATACAGACTAACACGGCTGCTACTCTGAAACCTGTCATCTCTGCTATGAATCTCACCTAAATGAATTGAACTCATGTCTGTATGTATATTGATCTTTTAACCATACTCTCTCTCTTTTGTTTTTTAATAAATTTTAGTTTAGTTAATAAGAATTGGCTGTAGGGTGTATTTGGGTAAGATTTGAAACATTCATTAACCTGGGAGGTAATGTGTCCGATTCTTTGGGATTGGTAGAATCTTTTCTTTTATATGATGAAATAAGATTTACAGACATTTTCATCGTATTTTACATGGGTATGTGGATGGAGGCCTGAGGCTGGATCACTTTAAGGGAAATGTATTGTTTGGACTTCTGAGTAACCAGTAAGGTAATAAAGAAGATGTTCTATGCTGCCTTGGTAAATCTAAGTATTGGAATATCCACCAGCTTTTTGGGGTTTGGCTGCCCCATTCTTTGCAGTTCACCCTAATTGAGTGACCATAGCTGGCTCCCCACTAGGACTCTGGTCACACCATTATTTTTCTTCTTCCTTAGCCACCACCCCAGTCTCCCCCCAGAGGATGTTGGGTAAACTAACGAATGCTTAGCAGCTATGCCCATTAGATTTCAGTTTTCAGGTTATATTTTGTATATAACCATAGTAACAATCACTAAGACAAATGGAGGCCCAGATTGATGTACGGCTGTAGTGGGTATGTGCTGAATACACCACAGGGCAGCATTTTGAACTACCTGAAGGAACCATTTATTTTGGTGACTGGCAAGATTTTTGAACAGGGCTTCTGTTAACGTGCCACTGTGGGAGTTGTACTGTACTTGTTTGATTAGTGATCATACTGTTAAGAATGACATGTCTACCCAGGCAGATCTGGGTTAGACTGGGACTGGGAGGAGCAATGGAACATCCAATATGTACACAGACATTACATTTTTCTTGCTGCGCTCAAAAACATGAGCCTTTCGGACTGATCCTCTCTTCTGAGGAGCACTCAGTGCAGCTGAGGAGAGGGGCTTTAAGCCATGTTTGCGCTCCTTGATCCTGGGCCCACTTCGCACTGGTCCAGTCCCCCCACTGTAAGTCAGAGCAGCCTAAAGGAGACCATAACTTGTGTTGGCTGCCATCAGCCCCAGTGGAACTGTTACAGCAGCCAGGGAGCATCAGGGAACAAAAATGTCCTTGCCAAATGCTATTTCAAAGATTAGGCCCTCTGCACCAGCCACAGGTAAGTAGGCATTATAGGAGCTACTACAGTGGCTGTACATAATCAAAAGATCCTCTCGTGCAGCGTCATCATCCTGTGTTTGGCTAAACCAGTCTTTGTGCTGGCTGAAGGCTACCCTCCTGCAGGGGAGAATCTGATCCAGAGTGTTCTGCTTGTAGTTGCAAACGTGCTGGATCACTAATGGGAGAAAAAACTGTCCTTAACTGCAATTAGATGTGAAAAGTGGCCTTCTGCTTATGGGGCCATAGTTCACATTGTCTCTATTTTGTTTTGGAAAATGCAGGATTAGTTTTCTATGCTCATTAAGACAATGGGATGGACATTAGAAACAAGTTTCTGAGGGTAGGTCTATACTACCCGCCTGAATCGGCGGGTAGAAATCGACCTCTCGGGGATCGATTTATCGCGTCCCGGGACGCGACAATCAATCCCTGAATCGGCGCTCTTACTCCACCAGCGGAGGTGGTAGTAAGCGCCGCCGACAGAAAGCCGCAGAAGTTGATTTTGCCGCCGTCCTCACAACGGGGTAAGTCGGCTGCGATACGTCGAATTCAGCTACGCTATTCACGTAGCTGAATTTACGTATCTTAAATCGACTCCCCCCTGTAGTGTAGATGTACCCTGAGACTCAGAGTTAACGTCATGAGTTTGTACAGTAATTATGGCACTGCAAACATTTGTTCACTTTTGGCAAAGAAAGGTTATTTCTATTTTCCTTCCTTCCAAGGATGTGTTCATGTCTAAATTTTAAAATAAAATCACAAATACTTTAAAAGTTTAAAAGTTTATTGCGAGAATGCAGCAGTCAGCCTTTTTTTGGTGTTACATGGAAAATGAACAAGCAAAATGAGTAGAAAATATAGAGCATGGTGAAAGAAAAGTACATGCTAATAATATCTCCCCATAATGAAGTTATAATTGAACAGTCAACCAAGTACATTATCTGTGGAAGAGGATACTGCTTCTCATGTTACAGTACAGTATCCAGATTGATAAGGAAATGCGTTTTCCATCCACAATGTAACTACTTTTCTTTAAAAAAAAGTAAAATAAAATAAAATAAAATAAAATGGCTAGGCTGGGAAAAAAGTAAACTGTTCAAGATTTGAAAATATTGTGTTATCAGCTTACAATTGTGAGGGTATGGAAATGGGAGAAGCAAACAATAGCCCATGCAAAATATACAGGAAGAGATTAATCAAAAATCCAAACATTAAAAAATTATGAAACTCTCAACTGTTGCATTTTGCTGTCCTGCAATCTTCTCTTCA